CAGTACGAGACGTGGGTGATCTGTTATTCATGCTCTCGGTGGCCCGTACGATCTCGGTCAGATCAGCTCACTCGTCGGCATTCAATGTTATCTTAGAAAATCGGCAGAAGGTCATGGAAGAGCTCGAGAAGGATGGTCTCGATGCCGACCTTTTCACTGCCCTCGATAATATCGAAGATGCAGTTAAGAGTCGAAAAAAGGAGCTGAAAAGACCTAAGAACGAAACCTCTGAGGAACAAGGCAGAGGTAGTCGGTCCTTCTCATACCACATTCTGAGTTCATCGTTAGTACTCCTTGAAGAGGTTCCCGAGGCTTCTGCGGAGTCCAAAGAGACGGGTGCGTATGTCCCCCCTCATCTTCGAGCGCGGAGGTCCACAACGACGGCAGAGGAAGAGCGCTTGCTGAAGTTGAGTAAAATTCGTGGACTTGTGAACAAACTGAGTGAAGGCAACATCGAATTGATTACCGCTGAGATCGTCAGTTTACTCAACGACGACGACCCCACCATCGTAGATGGGTACGCCCGCGAGTTCGTGGACAGCGCGATTGGGAATCCGCACATATCTCTCACCCTCCTCGGCACGTATTGCGCTCATATAGTTGCCATTACGATGCTCTCTGGTGGCCGTCCTCTCGCCACAGTCATTGAGCTCATCGGAGCCTTCGTGCGGGAGAATCTTCCTAATGTTTCGGATGATACTGCCGGTTCTGTGAAGGCGCAGATCAGCAATTGTTGTAAAGTGATTGCTTTGGTGTTCACGTTCGGAGCCGTCAGCCCGAATGTGGTGATCGATTTGATTCGCTTCATTTTCACTCCCAACGATATGCATCGGCTCGATTTGGTCCTCGTAGTTCTGAGATTCGCCGGGAGGAAACTGCGAAAAGATAATCTCCAAGATTTTTCAGAGATTTTGGAAGTCTTGACGAAGGACTCTAATGTGGCGGGCGAGGCCAGCGGAAAATATCAGTTCCTTTTGGGCGAGCTCGAAAACTTGAGGAACAACAAAGTCAACTTCACGGCTCTGTCGCATTTTGAGGCAAATTTTGGTTGGTTGAAGTCGTCGAATATACTAAAAGGTCGGGGAACTCCGGAAGATTCCCTCTTGCAAGTTCCCGTGAACATGTTCGATCCGGAGCAGGTTGACAGGCTAAAGGACACTCCCTGGTGGCGAGGCGCCTCTGGGGGGATCAGAGTCACCGCCACCACCTCTAAAGCTGAGGACAGTGAACACGCTAGATTGTTGAAGTTGGCGGCTAAAATGAAGATGAACACGGATTTGCGAAAGTCTATTTTCATAGCACTCATGGGCGCGGAAGACTACAAACATGCGGTGTTCCGGTTGGGGCAGGTCATCGGTTCTCGACCGAAGTTGGTGCCTCAAGTTGCGGTGGTGTTGCTACACTG